GAGTGATGGGGTGGTTAGCTCAACAACTGGGCTTGCGAATTGAATTATTGTTTCTGATGTACAGCGCACATCAATGTCAAGCAAGCAGCTGTTGAACGCAGAACGGGGTCGTCAGTCCTACGGACCTACAATACAAAAGTAAAGTGTTTGATGGGGTGGGGAGAAGGGGGAAAAAGTATGTAAGGAACCCGTTTGTCCTTACCCGCCCTTTTGTGTGCAACAAGTAATGCGACCCGGCTGATGACACCACGTTACCGTCGATGTGGCATGAGTTTATTCGTATATGTGCAATTTAGGGTTGTATGTGGGCTTGGATACTCCCAGGAGGCCAACGCCTAGACAGGAGGATGAATAGGGTCCCCTACCAAATTCGTTAACTTAAAAGCATGACCGCAGGGCAACGGTGTTTAGCGGAAATGCACTTACATTACCGTTGTTACAGAACAATTCGCTAACTATTTTCTAACCCCCAACCCAGATGGCCAGAAGACTGTGTTCGTCAGCCCTCGAACCATTGACCAACCTGATATGAGAGACTCTCTGACTGTCGAATGGACGGGGTAGGTAGGGGGCAATTAGGTAGAGCCGATGGGCAAAGGGCTGCATGGACAAATTCTACTTCGCTGTTTCGCGGGCCGTAAACCAGGGTTCGGTTGTGGCATCTCATTCTGGGCTTTTAATTCCAAAGTTTGACTCAGAAGTCAATGGAAAATGTAGGTTTTTTGCTCACGGGCCCAATCTATATCGTGTCACTGACGAACCGTTTCCGGAGGCGGTGATTCAATTATCTGACCCACCTGGCGGCAGGAGGCTGGTGTGTCTAGGGATATAGAAAGGAAAGTGTAATAGTCTGAATACTAATCTGAACGCCTACCGTAGTTGCATTCTGAGCAGCACCAGACTCTAATTTCAAAATTATTTCAACTGTATTGGGTATTTCACTCAAAGTTGAATAGTACTACTCATGTCGAGGTCGAGGAAGGAGGAATATCTCAGATACCTGACTTCGAGCATTCGACACATAAGTCTGACTCGCAGGGTAATGAAAGTTTGTACTCATACCTTTGACTCAAAGCTTTGATCCTCAAACCAATGGGCAGTACTGTTTCTGTGGGACCCTATCCGGAGCCAATAAATCAATAGTTTAACTCTTCTGACTGCAGTGAACTGGCCTAATCAGAGGTGCGCTTAGTAAGAGATGGACGTCTCAGTCCTAATGCTGCTGTATACAACATGCATTTTGAGCGGTGTCAGGCTGTTGGTAAGTTTTAGCGTATTTCCACCATATTGGATATTTCACTGGTGGTCACGATCAACCGTTGGGTGATCGAAGTGTGTGCTTTCTAAGCAGACCTTCGAGGGGATGTCGTATCGCCGCTCGTCATTTATAATTCAAATCTATCTTTTGTTGCGCACTCGAATGATTGTGCCAGAAACAG